TTCTTAATAACATTTGACAAAATAATATGCCTAGTGCCTTTAGATAATTCATAGTCTTTTAATTGCTGGCTGTATTTTCATTAATTGGGTAATACGTTGTACAGCAGTAGTCCCTCGGTATCTGCAGGGCATTGGTTCTAGGATGTTGGGTGGACACCAAAATCTGTGGATGCTCAAATTGCTTTTATAAAATGATGTAGTCATAGTATTTGCATATAACCTACACATATCTTCTTGTATGCTTTAACTCTGTGGCCTCCAACCATGTGGCGTGTTAGGGACTGGGCCTCAGAGCTCCTCTGCAGGCCCCCACCCCTGCCCCCTGTCCGTGGAAAAATTGCCTTCCATGGAACTTAGGAACAGGGGGGCTGCACAGCAGGAGGCGAGCAGCAGGCAAGCTGGGGAAGCTTCATGGCATTTACAGCCACGCCCATCGCTCCCATCACTGCCTGAGCTCCAGCTCCCCCCAACCCCTGTCCAGGGAAAAATGTCTTCCATGAAACTGGTCCCTGGTGCCAAAAAGCCTGGGGACTGCTGCTTTAAATCATCTCTAGATTACTTATAATACCTAATACAACGTAAATGCTATGTAAATGCTTGTCACCCTGTATTGTTTAGGGAATAGTGACAAGAAAAAAAAGTCTGTACATGTTTAGTACAGACTCAACCATAGTAGACCTAACTGCATTATTACACGTTAGCAGCAATGTAACATGTTCCGGAATTGTTTTTGGAATATTTTTGACTTGTGCTTGATTGAATCTGTGGAACTCACATATATGGAGAGCCAACTGTATGTTTGTCATTCAAAGCACTATTCTTATTTTTATAATTCAGCACCTAAAAAGTACTAGTCTATATTTATGGCAGCTGATAAGCAAAAGGTCTCGTTTTGTTAAATCTCAGGGGTAAATGTATATTTCTTCTCAAGCTATGCTTCTTGAGTGCTCTAAAAGTACATGACATCATAATTCTGGGGGCTCTGTTGGTCTGAATGCAGTGGCATTTCTGGCCATGGCTACTGTGGTTCATTCTATTTTTAGGAAAAGTATCTCAGTGACTTCAGTCGCATCAATGAACTTAAAAAACACTCATGAATGATGTATGATTAGCAGATTTATATCCAGAATCCTTTTGTAATTTTTCTGTTTCACTTTCTTAACCACCTAGTCTCAAACATGAAATTTGAATAGTTTATAAAAATTGGTGCACCTGGGATTCATTCATTCAACAAGTGTTTGCTAAAATATTGAGTACAAGTTTATCATACTTATGGTTCAGAAAGCACTTGTCACATTTGTTATTTTATTCCATTTTTACTACAATCTAGGAAGATAGGTATCTTTAGCTTTGATTCATAGAGGAAAAATCAGTCTCAGAAAGATTAAATGATTTGCACATTGCCGCATAGACAGTAAGTAGCAGAGCTGAGAATTGGCCTCAAAAATCCTTTGTTCCTTTTATTGGCTTCTCTGATTACTGACCATGTAGAATTTAGTCTTCCAGGAACTAAAGGCGAACTCCTCTCCCTCACCTCACTACAATATTTTTGTCCCTGTTCTATAAGACTTTATAATCTTGACAATTTATAATAATTATTAAAGAAGTAAAGGCACAAGAGAGTACAGAAATGTTACTATACAACAAGTTATGTAACCTCTTTTAGCCTCAGTTTTTTCATATGTTAAATGAGGATGAGACTCTCCTTATAGTGTTTTGCCAAATAAACGAGATAAGTATGTAAAATATTTAAAATACTGGCAGGCCCAAATTAAGTTTCTAGTAAATCTTAATAATTTCGAGTATTCTATAAAAGCTATATAAGAAAAGTGAGAGGTCTAGATCTTAAAGATGAATAGGATTTGAATATGAAAACATTCAAATGTTAATTATTCAAATATTAATTTCTGGATTGTCAAGGATGGGAGGGAAGCATACAGTAGGAGTCTAGGATAAACATGGCATGTTTAACAGCAATAAGGAACCACACCTTTGGCTGTGATGGAGTTCATAATAGAGAGTTGAGACTTTATTATGTAAGAAAAGTAGGTGCCATAATGAAAATTGCTTTTTTCCCCCTATAGCTGTTCTTTTGTGAAGTCTAGAAATTTTTGAAATTGTTTGGTATGTAGCACTAGCAGGATAGTCAGATCTCTGCATCACCTCAGATCTCTGCATGGCCAAATAAATCACCTTTCACTCAGGAAGCGTTATGATATGGTGAAAAGAGCACTGGATTCTAATTTGGAAACCTTTTCCTACTTCTAAGTTGAAATACCTCAGGCTGGTCATTTAACTCGTGTTTCTTATTTTCCGCATTATTTTATCACAAGATACTATTAGCTGTAAATTTGTCTTACACAGCTATTGAGACAATTGTATGAGATATGCATAAGATAAGACTGAAAACTGTAAGGACACATAAAAATATAATAGTCTTATTATTATTGGTATGATTGTTATTGCATTTCACAATGGCCGCTTTTTAGTTTGAACTTTTAGTCAGTAGCCATTTTCAAGAGAAAAACCTAAGCAAAATAATTAATGAATTAATAATTTTTTGGTAGGTGAATGTTTTGGATTTATCTGGAGTGAGAAAAGACTGTTTTATCTCCAGTTAGGAGTCTTTTGACTCGGATGTGTCTGATTTTGACAACTGCCTAACTGCAATACTTCTACTGAGTAGTACCACTAACCTTCATTATTAAGCTTCTGTGATGAGGAGCTTTGAGCTGTATCTTCCAATAGATTTGAACAAAGCCATTAAACATGAGTTATGTGGATATTGTACCCACTTAAGACCTTGTAAGGCCCATGCCGTGAGGGTCCAAGTAGCTTTACTTGAGTTATCGCAAAAAAAAAAATGAAGACATATCTGTACTTTATTCCTTTAAATTTTCCTTAGATTTAAAACTGGCTATTTAGAGAAAAAAAATTGAAATATTCTCTGAATTAGATTTTAAAAAATCAAATAACCAAATGAGCTTACAGAAGTTTTACCAATAACTTTGCTTCAATAATACCAGAGAACATTTTTCTTCCCCCTTGGAATAATTTTAAGTACCTTTTCCTTTAAAAATTTCTTGGAAATTTTCAACAAATAAACATTAGTATTTAGACTGTTAAATATTTTTGGCTCCTCCACTTCACTACATTACTGTGAGGGTTTAAAGCTTTCATTTAAAAATTTTTTATTGGTGAATAAATTGCATTTACTGAGCACAACTTACGGTTACGAACTCAGCATCATGCTAAATTTTTTGACAGAAACTATAGGAGTAAAAATATACTACTTTTCCTGAAGAAAGTTACAATTCCCTTTAAAGAGACAAAAATGAAACATGCAAAAATTAATATCGTACACCTAGAATAGCATGTAGGGTGGCATAAAGATGAGATATCAGAGAGATTTAGTATAGTCATAAGAAAGATTTTATGGGGGTGATGGAATTTGGATTCCAGTTGAACTTGGAAAGATATATCAAGTGGAAGTGAAAAGACATCTTTGTGTGGGAACAAGATGAGAAAATGCTCAGAAGGGAAGCCAAAGGTAAGTCTCGAGCACCACTGAAAAGAAAATAGCCCAGGACTTGTGAGCACATTAGTGGAGACTAGGTGGTACACTTGGGGAAACCACTGGTGCCAAATTATTGAAAGATTTAAATTCCAGACAGAATGTTTTTATTTGATTTTCATAATGGGACATATTTCATGCTTTTGGGCAGGCAATAAAATTATTTAAGTAGTGTTTTTGAAAAAAGTACTTTGGTGACTCATAGAGGTCGATTGGAAAAGAAAAAAATCAGAAGCAGAGATATCGCTGAGCTTGTGTGAAAAGGTCCCGCAGCTGGGGACACACTGATAAGGAGAGGAAAGGGTAGGTGGTGAAAGGCCTAGAAGTCCTCAGAGGGAAGTAATGATGGATTTGATGGATGGGAGCATGGCTTACTGAAATAGGCAGGCTGGCCTGGGAGGAAAGGTGATGAGTTTTTATCCGGGCAAGTATAGTGGGGAGGGGGGATGACATGCTCCACGAGAAATTGGAAGTGGATGGAGGTGCAGGAGAGAGGTCCAAGTCGAAATGCAAGAGCCAATAGCAGGAGAGTAACAGTCAGATACTACCATGGTGAGTTCTGAAGTGAGGAATAGCTCTTGAGGATGTCTGTAATTACCCTGTGCACAGGCCACAGCATTAATAAAGAAAATATCACTAGAAAAGTAGGAACCAGGAAGTTGTCATGCTTTAATTCTCAAGACAGGGATATGAAATTCAGAGATAGGAAATTACTTGTACGCATACAGAAATTTTCCTAACAGCTCCTGATTCATTGCTAGTCATGTCTTACTAACTCCATGTAAATCATTATAAAACACACCACTTTCTGATGAAGAGTATATGTGCTGCTTGGCTTTGATTTGGAATAAATTACAATGTTATCTCATCAAAATTGTGATTTCGTAACTTCCTTCACGAAAATAGAATGTTCTGGTCTGCCATTGAGTAAACAATCTACAATTCCTTTTCAAACCGTTGATGACGGGTGTTTAGGAATTTAGAATAATTTAGACGTTTAAAGATATAAAGCTGCTCCTATTGTATATTTCCTAATACCTTAGTGGGATCTTATAATCAAACAGAGTGATATTTCTCCAATAGGATATATCATAATATGAGTGAGACAAATAAATTATAAAAAGAGCTCCCCACCCCATCATTTCAAGACTAGGTTCTCTCTAAATGAGTTCAGATCAGGTTTTACCACCAAATAAATAACAAAAAAAGCTTGTGGATTTTGGAATTATTTGGACTTTGGATTGTTGGATAAGAGGTTATTGACATAATTTCACAAAGGGAAAAACTGAAAAAAAAAAATAAAGTGGGGCTGAGGGTTATGGGTTGAGCAGGGGTGGATAGTGTTGAGACTTTAGGATCATCAGCAAAAACCTTGCATGAAAGATTAGGTAGGAGCAGGCCTTATAATTGAGAAGGGAATAGCGAGTGTACGGCCCTGGGTTGGAAATGAACTTGACCTCTCTAAGCAACAGCAAGAAAGTCTGTGCAGCTGAAGTGGAATTAGCGAGATGAAATGCGATAGGAGATTGCGTCAGACAGGGAGTGATCTGGACCATCATGGAGCCTTTTAGGCCAGGTTTTTATTTTCACTATTATGGAAAGCCAGTAGAAAGCTTTCAGCTGGTGTTGGTGTGCTGTGATTTGTATTTTTTAAAATTCACTCTGGCTACGGGGTATCAAACAGATAGTAGGGGAACAGAGTAGAGGCCTGTTAGGAGGCTGCTGTGCAGATCCAGGGGAGAAAGTATGGAAGTTTGTATTAGTATGGTCATGATGGGCAGGTGGACAAGGGACTGGGTTCTGCATACCTGCTGGAAGAGCCTACAGCGCTTGAGCTTCAGATGTGAGCTATAAGAGAAAGAGAAACGTCAAGGCTAATCCTAAAGTCTGAATAGTGGTATCAACAGTAGTACCATTGACCAACAAGGGAAAGACTGAAGCAGTTGCAAGTGTGGGAAATGGGAGTCAGAAACCAGGAGTTTTCTTGTCGAATCCACTAAGATTCAGATAATTATTAGATATAGCCATGGGAATACAGGAAATATAAAGTATTTACTGGGCAATTAAAATGTGCCATGCCCTCTTCTAACATTTCTTGACTCATTGGATCCTCAAAACAATCCTACAAACTACCTACTGATTTTATTCCCATTTTATAGATTGGTGATCTAAGACACAGACAAGATAAATACCCAAGTAAGTAAGCACAGTTAGTAAGCAGCAGGTCGCACACAGTGCGACTCCAGAGCTTCTGCTCTTAGACAGTATACCTTACTGGTGCTATTACTTATTATTATTTCTCGAACTCCTGACCTCAAGTGATCCTCCCACCTTGGCCTCCCAGAGTGCTAGGATTACAGGCATGAGCTACCGTGCCCGGCCTTAATTACCTCGTATTTCTAAGACATCCAGCATAAAAACTTTGCGTTGTAGTCTTGTGAGTTAGAATAAATGGTAAATAAGCAAAATTAAGTGAAGATGAGAAAAAAGCAAATGTCAGAAAACATTTTATTCCATTTCCATAGACTGCTTCCATTGTTAAAAAGAGTTAGTTTCTTCTGTCTCCTCCGTGGAGTTTCTATCTGATTGCAGTTTTCAGTTTTCTATTCTTTAGAATAAAGATGGACTTTATGAAAGATGTTTCGATATGTAAATGGAAAAGCATATTTTCCATGCAATTAGAAGGGATCTTTTTGTATTGTCTCATCTTATGGTATATAAACATTTTTTTCCCTCAACTTCTGCACATTGCCGTAACCATAATAGGCATTTGTTAATGTTTTTATATTAATATTTTAAATAAATGAATGAGAGTAACCATGGCATATTTGAAGTGATTATTATCTTTCTACATCTCTGTAGCATTTTCTTATTAATGGATTGTCTTGTGTTTCAAATGCTTTCAGATTGGGTTGAATTTAGTCCATATGAAATTGGCATGGCTAAATATGGTACTTTTATGGCTCCTGACTTATTTGGAAGCAAATTTTTTATGGGAACAGTTGTGAAGAAATATGAAGAAAACCCCTTGCATTTCTTAATGGGTAAGTCAAAACCTTATCACTAGTTCGTTTGACTATTTTAAATACCGGCACATTTTAAATATTCTCTGTTTCTGCTTTATTTTAGGTGTCTGGGGCAGTGCCTTTTCTATATTGTTCAACAGAGTCTTGGGAGTTTCTGCTTCACAAAATAAAGGTTCCACAATGGAGGAAGAATTAGGTATCATAAAAATATATTTACATTGATAAAAATTACGCTACATTGTTAAATTTTGTTAACATAGAGACAAAATTAAATCTTCATAAGGATTGTAATTATTCTAAATTTATCAATAATTTGGTTGAACCCATCTAAATATTTTCTAAAACTCATATGTAAATTACTTCTTAAGTATTATTTTCACCCTGAGGTTATAGAGTTAATAAAAAGCATTGATTCCTAAGAATAATTTTTAATAGGATACCTCCATTCCTTTTTGTCATTATTTTTCTAAACATACTATTTTTATTAAGAAGCCCTTTTATTAAATAAAGGTAGTTTTTAAAGATTAGATTCATCAAAAGTTAGATACAGTATGACACTTAAGGATAAATTCACGCTTGTCACCGTTTATTCACCCTTAAATACTAACTCACTAGAATCCTGTTAGCATCTCACAGCTAAATTATACCAAAAAGAGGGGGGAGAAAAACAAATCAAGTCTAGTAAAGGAAAACTAATGATTTTCATTAAATCTAACCCATTCGTCCATAATAAATTTAAAAATATTCACAAAGATTGAAATAGTAGACAAACTCAATCACAAGACCAGTGGTTTTGATTCATTATAATACACTGGTGGCTTGTGCTTGTAATTCCAGCTATGTGGGAGGCTGAGGCGGGAGAATCGCTTGAGCCCAGAAGTTCAAGGTTGTGATGAGCTGTGATCCTGCCACTCCCGCCTGGGCAACAAAGTGAGATCCTGTCTCTAAAAAATAATAATGATGATAATAGCAATAACAGTGCTATAGAAATATGTTTTCTTAAATGAATAAATTTGACTTAAAGCAAATAAAACAAAACATATATTCGGTATCTCCCCAAAGCCTTGCCATCTGTATTTTAATCCACACTCCTTTTTGTTTTGGCTGTTTTGACTGATAGTGTAAAGAAGCAGTGGAAGGCTAAGTCTGAATTTGGGGCCGGATCAGCAGGGACCAGGGAGAAGGGTGCCAGGGACTGTCAGCGCAACTGCCTACTGTCTCTTTTCTGTCCGGAAAGTATCGCAGATCTATTTGAAAACAGAAAAGTTGACAGAATAACATTAATAACTTTTTCAATAATCAATTCACTTGAAGAATGAGTGCATGTAAAAAGCCTACTGCAGGATTTTTAAACGAACTGCCCTTGGTTATCCTAGGCAATGACAGTGGCTTTAATTAAGCTTTATGTGCAGAAGAGAATACAATTATAACAATGTGAACACTGTAAATTTCCTTATGAGTAGTATTATCACTCCTCCTGCAAGAGCTGATTTTAGTTATTCAGTATTTTAGTTGATATTCATATTTAGTGCAGCAAACTTCTATAGCCCTGAATATTTTCTTTAAGAGTGTCATTTGGATTTTTGGATTGTTCCAAATAAGTCATAGAGAAGTGATCTTATAATTTCATTACAGCCAAAGATTTTAAAATAAAAACAAAAACAATCGAAAAAGCACTTTGTGTTTGCACTTACTCCTATCCTCAGATCATCGCCCAGTTAATGAGCCGACGAGGTAGGTGGCGCTCTTGAGCCTGCCGTGACCTTAAACACAGTGCACATTCTCTTAATGATAACTAGAAGGCAAAGAGTACAGATACCCTAAGGTTTATTATTTTTTTCCTCCTAAGGAAGGAAGAGAATAGGACTGAAATAATACATCTGAAGCTGGGTGAGACGGTGGCTTAAGGCCAAGGACCAGGAGGAGGTTTATACTAAATAGTTTTGAGAAGACTCTTTGTTGAGAAGTTCCCTTTGAGGCCAGCCGTCTGGCAGCTTATTTACTTGTTCTATGTGTCAGGCTGAGGTGGAATATTGTGTATTTGTGACCTTCCGGTCGGCAGGAAACATGTTACCTCAGATTAAGTAAGGGTTTCCAGAAATGAAACCAGAGAGGTGACTGAGGGGACCCTGAGGACTCCTGGTGACTTTTTAATCCTTTGGCTGGGTGAAGTCTACCTCTTAAAGGGGTATTCAGAAGTAGTGTTTGGTTTTTTTGTTTGTTTTCTTCCTTCTGAGGAGAGACTTTCAGGTAAATTGGAACATAATCAGGTAACTCCAAATGAAATTATTTACTTTCTTAAGGAGGTTTGAATGTGAGCAACTCATGCTTTTGAAAAGATGGAGCTGTACATTATACTATAGAGATGGAAAATACATTAATGTAAGTTCAGAATATTTAGCTATTCATATCATAAAAGCTTCCTTATAAAGAAGACAATATTTTGGTGAACGGTTTTCTTAGATCAGAGTGTCAAATGTGACCAAAAAAACAAAAAAAATAGAAAGAAAATGTTTAAGGAAAGAAAAGAAGCTACAGGTAGGACCAGAAACACACTTAATGTATATGACACTTGGAGTGGATCATTTCTTAACGTTACCCTCCTTTATACAACAAAATTCATATCTATAATAGTCCTGAAATGAAATGAATAATATTAGCTTGTGAACATTTTATTTTATTGAATTTCATATATATAGTTGTGCAGTAAAAATAAAAAATAAATGTCAATCTATTGCCTAAGCATTTACTAATCCTTCCATTACATACTCTTGATCATTTGCATACATGCCATTTACGTAGGTAAGATAAACATTTGCAAAGTAATATGGGGAAACCAAATGTCATACCTATATTTCTTTGAGTTTAAAGCCCCCAAAATGATTCTATCTCCAAAATTTGTAACTTTGGAGTTAGCTTTTTAAAATAAAAGAATTTTATTGACTAACAGAAGAGGAAAGAGAACTCACAACAGAAAAGTGATTTCACATAGGTGTCCAAACATAGTTTGATTTCCTTTACAAATAGTGATGATGAGGATGATCTACATATTTCATTGTTTAGGTACATTTTACTTGAAAAAATACAGCTAGTTATTATGCTAGATTTTACTGCCGTCTTTGTTGTAAGGATTTATGGTTGCTATTTTAGTTTTTATAAAACACTCTGTTAATATGTTCTGCAGGAAACACAAATTCTTGACACCAAAAGGTGAATTTCATCAGAATTTTCAGTATAATTGAATTCGAAAGATGATTTATATTAGTAGCTTTCATTCATTTTGAGGAAACTGTTCTCTAGCTCCCCTGTAGATTTTGGTTTTATCCTTTATATAAATATATAAATATATAAATAAAGATAACTTCATAAACACCATTTAAAAACATTTAATTGAAAAACATGTATTTTTGCTATAACAAGGAGCTTCCTATAATCAAGTTGCTATTTTTGTCATAATTATGATAAACATGTAAAATTACCTCCTTTAAGTCATGAATGAATAAATTTAAACTAATTTTTCACTTCCTGGGAAATTTCATTTTCCAATGAGAAATTTGGAAACAATAGTAACTCTAACAAATCTAGATTTACTAAATAAATCTAAATGTACACTAGTAGAGCTTTGTAGACTTCCTTCTGTGGTTTTGCTCAGGTTACTTCTTGATAATAAATTTAAATTTGAATTTTCACACCTAAATGCTTAATTGTTTTTTCTTTTCCACAGAAAATATTACAGCAAAGCATATTGTGAGTAACGATAGCTCAGACAGTGATGATGAGTCACAAGAACCCAAAGGTAAGAGAGCAGGAAACTTCTGGCAGAGATCCACGGGGGAAGGATGTGAATGTTTTGCCTGAGTCTCTCGCTCAAGATGCTAATGGTAGTCTCCACTTACGGCACTGGAGTAATAGGATTGCAGCTTTCTACTGAGAGAGAGGATTAAATGTTGCGTATGTAATAAAATAGACAGCACATATATATCTCTAACTTCTTTTTTTTAACACATCAAAAATATCATCAGTTGAACAAATGAACAAATCTGAGATGATAGAAATGCCAAATTCTGTTCTAAGTCTGATTAGGACATTGGGCTTCTTAACATGGATGTTGCGATTTGGGAACAATTTTAGACGGTTTTAAAAATTAAAATTTTATTATTAAGTAACATGTGAAAAATTGTCTCTTCACTCCATTCCTGAGGCTTATCTCGTGGTAACACCTCACTTTTTGGGAAGGGATCAGGGATGAAGTGGTGGAAAATGATCAAGAACTTGTCGCATCTATTGTTTGGTAGTATAAATGAGTCCTTTTGCATTTGACAAGGTGGTTTTCAGTTTCATGTGGATTACCATAGTCAGCAATGGACTTGGGGCAGACTGGATTTGCAACAAGCATGAGGGTCATATTTGTTGCAAATGTTATGTGGTAAAATGGAGAGATTTTACATTTTGACACAGTGTGTTCACATATTCACTGATAAAAATGCCCCCAATAGTCCAAAAAAATTAACAAAAAACAAACGGAAGACGTAACAGCTGGGCGAATCTGTCCTATTATAGTTTGTATACCATCTAGATTTTGGAATATATTTCATACTTTATTGTCCAAAACTTAAGGAATTTCACCAGGCAAGGTGTAGCTACTGAAAGAGCCAGTTTTATCTTTGTTCAATTATCAGTAAAATTAAAATTCTCTTTTCCGCTGGGCCCTGTGTCTCATGCCTGTCATCCTAGCACTCTGGGAGGCTGAGGCGAGAGGATCGCTTGAGCTCAGGAATTCGAGACCAGTCTGAGCAAGAGCGAAACCCCGTCTTTACTAAAAATAGAAAAAATTAGCCGGGCATGATGTCACGTGCCTGTAGTCCCAGCTACTTGGAAGGTGATGCAGGAGGATGGCTTGAGCCCAGGAGTTTGAGGTTGCATTGAGCGACGATGACACCTCTGCACTCTAGCCTGGGTGACAGAGCCAGACTGTGTCTCAAAAAGAAAAAAAAAGTCTCTTTGCATAGTTGGGCTATTACTTCCTCTTAAAATGAGTTTGTGCAAACTAGATAAAAGGTGCCTTCTCCGGGGAATGCAGCTGCACAGGGCCGCAGCATGGTGGGTACGCAGTGTTTTGTGAACTTTAAAAAAAGAGAATCCCTTCTCTGGGCAGGTGAAGCTTTTGTCTGGGCACAAGGTGTGGCCGGTGGAGTATAAGCTGGGTTTCAGCCCCGATTTGCCCTCTCTCCTGCTGCCTTCTGCAGCCCATGATTTACCTGAGCAAATACAGCAGCCCTGGTCATCACGAGGAACCCCAAAAGACTCCTGCCCTGGAAGGAAAATTAGTCATAATTCTGGCTCCTTTATGTTTTAAATTTTAATGTTACATTTTAGTTGTTCAAGTTCTTTTTATTTTGAATTTCCATTTAATGAAGGAAGCTAGCCAGTACAAAAGAAATAGACATCATATGGCTAGAATCTCTAGCATTGATTGTGTATTGATTTAGAGACGGCCAAGTAGATTTAGTAATAATTTGTCAATTTTCAAGCCAGTTTCTATCTGTGGGCAGTAAATTTGATAACCTCTGCAGTGTTGGCTGGTTCTTAAGGCTGAGGAGTTCAAGAAGCTTTTCAATATGGCTGCTTTGGGTTCAGTACCAGCCTTGATTAGGGTATGATATTTAGGATGGTTTTGAGGTTTTCTTTTTAGTGCTTAATATTTATTTTTTCCTTTTAATAGTTTTTAGAGCAGTTTCTGGGTTCAAGCAACATTGAGTGGAAAATACAGGAGTCCTCTGTCCCCTGCCTAGTCATCCCTCCCTCTCCCAAACCCTGACAAGTCCTAATCTTGCTACTGTCCCCATAGTTTTGCCTTTTCCAGAATGTCGTATACTTGGAATCATACAATATGTTGCCTCTTCGGATTGGCTTCTTTCACTTAGTAGTACGCATTTAAAATTCTTCCATGACTTTGCATAGTTTGATAGCTCATTTCTTTTTATTGCTGAATAATATCCCATTGTCTGGATGTAGCATAGTTTATCCATTCACCTGAAAGGATATATTGGTTGCTTTCAAGTTTTGGAAATTATTAACAAAGTCCCTGTAAACATCTGTGTTCAAGTTTTTGTGTGAATGTAAGTTTTCAATTCATGTGGGTAAATACCATGGAACACAATTGCTGGTTCATATGGCAAGAGGATATTTAGTTTTATAAGAAACTGCCAAACTGTCTTCCAAAGTGGCTGTACCATTTTGCATCCCCACCAGCAATGAATGAGAGTTCTTGTTGCTCCACATCCTTGGTAGCATTTGGTGTTGTCTGTGTTTTGGATTTTGGCCACTCTAGTAGATATGTATTAATAGTAGTATCTCATTATTGTTTTAACTTACATTTTCCTGATGACGTATGATGTGGAGCATCTTTCCATATACATTTTGCCGTCTGTGTATCTTCTTTGGTGAGGTGTCTGTTCAGGTCTTTGGCCCATTTTTTATTTTATTTTGCCTTGTTTTAGAAATGGGATCTTGCTGTGTTGCCCAGGCTGGATTCCAACTCCTGGGCTCAAACAATCCTCCCTCCCCAGTCTCCTGAGTAGCTGGGATTACAGGCATGCACCGCTATGCCTGGCCCTAAGACATTTTTAATTAGGTTTGTTTTCTTATTGTTGAGTTTTAAGAGTTCTTTGTATGCTTTGTATTACAGTCCTTTATCAAATATGTCTTTTGCAAATAATTTCTCTCAGTCTGTAGCTTATCTTTTTATTCTGTTGAGCCTCCTCGACTTTCAGTCATATGATTTTGTGCAAGGTCTTTAGTCATTTTCAACTTTACTTTCTTCAGATATATGCTAGAATTCTTTACCTCCTCTCACATAATTTTTGCAATCATTAATTAGTAAATGCATACAAAAAGGCTTTAAGTTGTAAATGGTGATATAAATAGAAATGTCCTATTAGTATTGTAACTAATAAGCAATAAATATCATTTATCTTTTGACTGCAGGGTTTGTCCTGCAAATGATGCCATTTTCAAATGTATCATAAGGAAGGTAAATCTTCTTCTGGTACAGAAGTAGGGAGTTTTAGGAGAAGTAGAAGGAGAAAGAGAAGGGGGAGGGGAGGAGGAGGGGGAGGAGTAGGAGGAGAAGGAGAAGGCACCCCAAATCTGTAGAAATAATTGAGTACCTTAATCATATCCTGCGTAACTGGAGATAAAAATCATTCATTTGAAAGCCTGAATCTTTCTAGTGAAAGATTTTCTTTGTCATATTTGGCAGTAGAAAACTGTGGGAGAAGAAAATAGTGTATTTGTTTCTAGTGAATATGTAGTCATCAGGATTGGTTACTGAAAGAAAGATCTCTTCCTTTACTCAGCTTGGTTAAGTGAATCTTTGTGAAGATAAAAATCACTATTTATTATGGTTTTATGTATGTTTACTTTACATTTACTGGAAAGTATGAAGTTTGAATGTAGATTCTCTTTTCTTTCTCTCTCAACACATGCACACAGTCATACACATGTATGCACACACAGTTACTTGTGCATGTATGTTCATACGCAGAGCTTCCAGAAATCAGAACAGAGGGGGTTTGAGCAAGTGAAGTTATACTCTACCATACAGTGTTCTTTGATTTTGATTATGAGTGAATAATATTGATGATGATTATGCTGCTGCTACAACTGTTTCTACTACTAGCTGGGATTTATTAAGAATTTAATACGGGCCAGGCACTTTTCTAAGAGCTCTGCATGGATGCACATACTCAGTTAATCCTTACAACAACATTAGGAGGTTTACTGGTGAGAAAATAAAGGAAGAGAAGGGGTAACTAACTAGTAAACAGTGAGAGGGGATTGGAACACAGGCAATCTGGTTCTGGAGCCAGTGCTCTAAATTACTAGACAATGTAGCTTCCCAGTAGTAGTGATGTTTGCATAGGTTTTAAGGAAACAGTCATTTAAAACTGCTTCTTTTGGATGATTGCTGAATTTTAAAAACATGTTTAGCATTTGTTTAAATTACAGGGTTTTAAATCCCCAAACTTTATAATCAAGGATGAAACGACAGGTCAGATGACCAACAGGTCATAAGGGTATTTATTGAATAGCAAGTGTATGTTGAATCCTTTAGTTATCTTTCCTCAGTTTGTTTAATTCCTGGAGTTTACTAAACGGGATAAAAATTCTTAAGGAAACTCAGGAAATGCAGAGGATAGGATTAGCTACTGTGGATTTTCTGTGTGTGTGTGCGTTTCTGTGTGTGCGTATGTGTGTGCTTGCGCGTGAAGCCAGGGAAAAGGAAGAAAATGGCTGAGAAAGGGAAGAAATGAGAAAATGAAGGAAGTTTACCTGGAAATCTAAGACTAAACCCAGCGGCACTATCAAGAATATAACCTTTACTCTGGCTATAGGTAGAAGGTAAACTAAGAACAATTTAAGAACAAAATGATTTATTGAAATATTTTCTACATTAATTTATACAAATAAGATAGATGAAATCAAAAGCCATAGAACTTCACTGTTAAGTTTCACATTCAATTATCCAAAGAAGATCCTTGTGTAAAACATTCATTTCGGAGTCTGTATGATGATCTATTCTTTTTCCTTAGGCACTGAAAATGAAGATGCTGAAGGAGATTATCAAAATGATCATCAAGCAAGTTGGGTCCATCGTATGTTAATGGCCTTGGTGAGTGATTCGGCTTTATTCAATACCCGAGAAGGCCGTGCTGGGAAGGTGCACAACTTCATGCTGGGCTTGAACCTCAATTCATCGTATCCACTGTCTCCTTTGAGAGACTTCAACCCACAGGAATCTTTCGATGAAGATGAACTGGATACAGCTGTAGCAGGTCAGTACAAAAATATAATCGGTGGAAATTAATTCAGAAGATCTTTATACCTTCTCTGGGGAGAAGCATTTTAATTATTAACATTAATTCCTTTATACTCAGTTCCAACAACTTGCATTTAATAGGTGAAGGGCTCCAAATTACTGGGGTTTTTTTTTGAGGGGGAGAAAAAATGACTTCGGGTGGGAAATGGTCTAGGCATGTCAGTATAGAAAATTTTCATTGAAATCTTGAGAGAGACTTTAGACCCTCCCTGTATGGGTCAGGGTTCACTTGCAGAAAGTAGGAAACTCTCTACCTTGTTTAACTGAAAGGGGTTTGAACTAGGGAATTCAGTGCTTACAAAATTGTTGCCAAGGCATGGATGAGCAAGCCCTAGGCTGAGCTTCCAGGAATGACTCCAAAAACACATCAGAATCATCCCCACAAATGCCTCAGCAACTACGCTTGGCAGTAAAAATACCAGAAACGTAGCCTCTGTCTCATTTCCTTTTTCATGTCTCACGTGGTGTGTTTCTCTTTGGCAGAGGCCAGGGCTCAGCAGAACTGGAGCTGCAAGGGAATCTAGCAAACGCGGCCCTTAGCCTGACGCCCTAGTGCGGTGCTGGGGTGCGTGCGGCCTTGGGGTTGGGCTGGAGTTGAGTTAGCCAGGCTGCAGAGTCCACCAGGCGATCGAATCAGTCCCTCCAGTTCTCAGAAAGGTTAGGTCACTTTCTTACGGCCGCCTGGCAAGAAGCTAGTCACTTTCAGGTTTGTCACTTAGCCACATCCTCAAGAATAATTCCCTTTATACTTCAGCTCTATGTCTGCTATAGATTACATTTGCCTTGGTGACTAATCAACACATACTAATCTTTTTTGTCATGGACCTGCCATCTGAAGCGTGTATACTTCGTCACCCCATCATCTTTCCTTTAACTGTCCAAACCTCATTCTTCAGTTGTGTTTGTCTAAGGACGTGGACCGGTGCTGTACAAACTGAAATGGGATATTTCAAAAAAAAACCTTTCTACTGTTCTTTAAGCATCATGCCTATAAAATATTTTTGAAAATTAGGATATAGCTTTAGATTTTGTTGTCTTTTGGGAGTATTGTTTCTATCTGTTGCTTGACAGAATTATAGGGGAATTATAGAGGCAAAAGTGACTCCTGTTGCCTAATAAAAAATGAGTGCAAATTCATATTTTGAATGAATTATATTTATGGTATCAAACTCTAAGATATGAGATATGTCTGATTACATACTGTAATCCAAACTCTTTTATATTAACTATAATAAAAGTCTATTTGTGATAAAGTCAATGCCTCTTTTAAAATCCATCCAAAATACAAATACTCTTAACCACATCAGTGACATTATTTTTCTTGTTTTATGGCATATGATTATGCTTATTGCCATTGTAATACCAATAAAACATGTCTCCTCTAGAAACTCACACTTTGTAGATGAATGATGATGGGCTTAAAAAATAACTTCTACAACATTGAGATGTACAGAGAATATTCAGTTATTTTACTCTACAGGAAAGGAAGACCAAAAAAGATAATTCTGTCATCTTTGTCTAACATTTCTCAACAGAGTTGGGATTGGGACACGGGTCTCTAGACATTGCTTCTAAGCCTTTCCCTTTCCCATAGCCCTTGGTTTTATTAGTCATTATCGTTCTGATGTAAAAATGGAAGTTCTGTTTGTGTATACTTTATTCCATCTGTTTTATGTTTTCACTTTGATTGCATCATCCAGCAGAGCTGCTTATGTAGTTTGCACGGCACGTTTTCTTCATTCCACAGTTTAACAACTTCCTGATAGTTTTGTAATATTTTATGTAGACTTGGTGGTATTAGGGTTGCCAGATAAAATTCAAAATGCCCAGTTAGATCTGAATTTCAAATAATATGTATATATGTATATAAATAATATATATATAAAATCCTTACAATATTTGAGGCATACACTAAATTATTATATGTTGATTATATGAAATTCAAATTAAACTGGGCATCTTGTATTTTTATGAGCTAAATCTCGCAACTTTAGGAATTATGTCTCTTCATCTTTCTTATTTTCTTTCAAATTATTCTGCATTTTTCATCTTCCTTCTTTCTTTTGTTCATTCTCGCATTCACACTGTATTTACAGAATATTTATAATGTGCTTAGTCTTTGGGATCCAGTAGTCAATAAGACAGATGTAATCCTTGGCCTCATAAAGATCAAAATCATTCCATGGGCCATCCTTGAAGTTTTGATTAATAGAAGGATTTATGTGCTTTAGGTAACAACGATAGGAAAGTAGAGTAAAACTAAAAACCAGGAACTCGGATCCTAATGGAACTATAAGTCAGCAAGGATACAACCTTAATCGAGGATACAATTGCAAACAAGAATGTGGGTTAAATGTGTGTGTTAGGGTTTGGGAATAACAGTTGTACATCACCTTGTCTGATTGCTTTCTTTTGTTTCATGCCCTTTCAAAGAAGAATTATAGACAGTTTTCATAAAATAATAGGAAGAAATATAAAATATCAATCATCCCAAAATATGGTATTATATAGACTAAATATTTCTTTTGTTGAAAGATTTTAAAGTGTTCTAACCTAAAATAATTTTTATTTTTTATTATTATGGGTACATAATAGCTGTATATATTTATAGGTACATGTAGTGTTTTGATACAGGCATACAATGTGAATTAATCAAATCAGAGTAATTGGGGTATCCAACACCTCAGGCATTTATGATTTCTTTGTATTAGGGACATTCCAATTCTACTCTTTTAGTTACTAATATAGTTTTAAATGAATCATCTTTGGAAAGAACTTTCAGTTTCATTTCTCAGAGTGTATCTCATTAAAATTACATTTTACTCATTTTATATTTATTCAATTAAAAAATGTATATAGGGTACTGATTTCAGTGAAAACAATTCAGCCAGTTCAGTGACAAACTAATTAAACTTTATTGTTTACAGACCAATATTGCTAAAAATGATTGCTTTTTAGACTGAGTTTACTGGATTGATTAGTGCTTTTTCAGTCAAGGCTTTTACTAAGTGAGACCCTATTTATCTCCCTCTTGTTGTTTCCAAGTTTTAAAATAGCCATATGTCTGGATTGAAAGCTAAAAGTTGTTTGTTTGTTTGTTTTTATTTCAGGATATTGTGGGGGTATAAACATTTTGGTTACGTGTTATGACTTTGCCTCACCCAAACCATGATTTGAGGCGTGCCTTTTCCCCCCTACAATGCTCACCACGTCCATTAGTTGTGAGTTTGGAGAATATTACTACCATGTGAGCACCATGGTGTAGATCAGTTAATGCCAATTTGATGGCGAGTACATGTGGAGCCTATTCTTCCATTATTGTGATACTTCACTTCGGAGGATGGGCTCCAGGAAAGTATACGAGGTGCTAGATCACCATCGTTTCTCATAATTGAGTAGTATTCCATTGTATACACATACCAGATTTTATTAATCCACTCATGGATTGAAGGGCACTTGGGGTTGATTCCACATCCTTTCAATAGTGAATTGTGCTGCCATAAACATTCGAGTGCAGATGTCTTTATTATAGAATGTATTTTGTTCTTTTGGGTAGATGCCTAATAGTGCTGTATCACTAACTATGATCCTTTTAGTTCATAAGGTCTTCATTAAAATTCCTCTTATACAACTAAATGCCACAATTTAATGAAAACATTAATTTTAGGTTATTTCTCATTTAATTTTGTACCCCTTTACACAAAAACAGAGATTTTTATCTAATTTAGCTATTATGTTGGAAAAATCTTATATCTTAGTTTACCCTATGTTGATTTTGTTTATACAAATTAAAATTTGAGTATCTTAGAATTAAAAAAATTCCTCAAAATGGGAAAAAGTGTACTATTTTTTTTACTTCACTTTTGAGACTATCTTTTGAAAACAAGAGAAATCATAAGATCGTGAAAATCCCTTTGTTTACTGCAAAATAATTGTATACCTGTAGAAACAAATTTTGGAGAAGCTTTTCGTTAGTTACATGACTTCTTTCCTGTTTACTTTTGTGTTTATGCTATTTACTGTGACATACACCATCTGGAATAAGAAATCAAGACATGAGTTAATTTAAACCAGAGTTCAAAACACAGACATCCAAATATTTGTACATTGTAAATTGAATCTGTGTGATATATTAATAAAATGACCATTACAAATATCCACAACTGAACTGCTTTGAGGAAATGTTACATAATTGTAAAACAGACTTATGTTTCTATACCTATCAGAAACCTGATTAACTCATTCACAGGTTTGGAAATCTTGTATGCTTTAAACTATGGGAGGATATTCTTCCATATGGCTTTTATCCCATACTCTATGACATTTTAGTGGATGTTACATGATAAATCCAGTTCAAGTTCAAATAAATTTGGAAAAATTGGCAACTCTATCTCCCTCTTCAAAGGCAATGGGATACCCTAATGAGTTTAAGACCTACTTAAAGGTGCCTTGAATATAGTACTTTAAAAGTAGACTAGCTTATGTTTGAATCTTAGCTGCACTGTTTTTTAGCAGGACAATCTTGAGCAGTTACTTAGCATAAGCCTCAGTTTGCTTATAAAATAAAAATAATAGTAGTACCTATTTTATACAGTTATTGTGAGGATTAAATAGCATCTTCATACCAAAGTGATGGTACTGAAAACCATAGTAAGGGGAGTAGGTTATATACCATATAACTGGCTATTACTTTAAGCTGTTGAATCTTGTCTTTCTCAAGATATGCTCCTATTTAATCATTATTTAATTCTTATTTTGTGTATGACACATCTGTTTATGTCTTGCAAAACTACGCTCTTTGCAACACAATTAAGAAATACTGCTTACCATTTGTCTTTTTTTTACTACATGGATAAACTTAGTGGAAATTTGGCTAAGCAAAATAAGCCTGGTATAAAGTGACAAATACCACATGATTTCACATATTTGTGGAATCTAAGAAAGTCAGAAACAGAGCCTAGAATGCTGGTTACCAGAGGTTGGCATGGGGGAGAGGGGTGGAGAATGTGAACAGGAAAGGGATCCAAAGGTCAAATTTCCCTTGGTCAAGGCATACAAAGTTTTATTTAGCCTGAAGGAAAAAGTTCTGGTGAACTTGCCCAGTATGGTGACTGTAGTTAATAATTCATTGCATATTGCAAGATGGCTAAAAGAGAAATGTCCTCAGAGTATAAGCTCTGTCAGAGCAGAGTTTATCTCCATCTCGTTCAGCACCTAGAATTGTACCTGAGAGGTAGGTAGACAATACATGTTTGCTGAGTGTGTTGGCTGGACTCTCTTCCTTGACCCCCACTGTATAGTGGATGCACCCTCAACTGGAGAGAGACAGCATGGGATCCATCCAGATTCTGCTACTCCCAGTTATGCCACTTTACAGATGAATTTTAATTCATTTCACTCTCCATTTGTAGATGTCTTTTACCTCACCTGTCTGTTACAAGAATTAAGCAAGAGGATGCATGAGGAAATGTTTATAAACCAGTAAAGACTATATAATGTAAGATGATGCTATTAAAGTGGTCACAGCCTAGAGTTCATACCAGGGCCAGAACTCAGTACGTCCCATGTATTGTCCAACTTAATCCCTGCAGCACCTTATTTGATAATTACTTTTATCCTGATGTTACAGATGAAGAAACTAAGACTTGAAGAAAATAATTCACTTAAAATTGCTAAAGTTGGTCTCATGCCCAGCTCTATTTGTCTTCAGAGCCTGAGGGCCTAACTATATGAAATTCTGCCTCTCAAATTTTGAACAAGCCTTTTTACATCATAAATAATGTCAAATGATCATTTGACTCATTCTTGGCTTTCTTTCGTTTTAAGATCCTGATGAATTTGAGCAAATATATGAGCCTCTGGATGTCAAAAGTAAAAAGATTCATGTAGTGGACAGTGGGCTCACGTTTAACCTGCCATATCCCTTGATACTGAGACCTCAGAGAGGGGTCGATCTGATCATCTCCTTTGACTTCTCTGCAAGGCCAAGCGACTCCAGTCCTCCGTTCAAGGTAAAGAGACTTCGTATAGCATTCTGTTCTCTCCCATGTTCTCTTGCATGCCTTATAGATCTCTTAGTCCTTTTGACCCCAGTTTCTCATCCCTTTAGCCTATTTTCTACATTTTTGTTAGTAATATTTTTAAAATGCAGATGTGATTCAATCACTCGTCTGCTTGAAGAAACATTTAAATGATTCCAATGAGCTCAATAAAGTTCAGAGTCTTGAGCAGGACGAGAACGATACAACAGGTCTAAAGTTTAGAAAGGAAATTAGGCTGAGATTTGGGAGTTAGCAGGTAAAAGATACCTAAAACCATGCGTGGAGCATTTTAGGAAGAAGAGCAGTGGACTCAAAATAGTACTTTGAAGAACAATATCTAGGGGAAAGGAAGAGAACAAAGGAAGTACTCAATGTTACAAAAACCAATTGAAAATATGTATAAGAACAGCAAGAAGTCTTTGATGAACTGGACAAGAGCAGTTTCAGTAGGGTTGGTTGTAAGGGTAGAAATTGGAATGCAGTGGTTTCAGGGATGAGTGGACATTTTTAAAAAATGGAGACAATTCTGTAGACTGTTTTGGGAAGAAGGAGTTGGATTGTACCTGTAAGAGTGTATGGGGAATAGGAAAACTGTGTGCGTGTGGTGGGGGGTAGACTGTTAATAAACAAGATGAGCATGTTTGAAAACCGATGGCTAGGAGTCATTAATGAAGAAGATATTATTGGAGAGTAGAGAAATGTAATATACGATAAAGTCTGGGAAGGTTATAGGGGTAGGGGACGATCAAAGACACACGTGGAGAGTAGTATGGAAATGTCCATATCGGGGCAAGAGAGAAGGGGGAATAATGGCTCTGGATGGGCACTCGTTGTTAGGCATGGAGAAGGGAAGTTAAGATGGACCTCATCTGATGACTTCTAACTTTTATAGGAATTAGGATCAGTGTCATCTTGTGAGGATGAGAATACGGAAGTAGTGGAGTCAGGGGTGTGGAGTGAATAAAAGTCTGCCTCTGTGAAGAAGTGAGAAAAAGTCCTGAATAGGGCAATAAAGAAAGTTTGCTGGGCAGCAGTGTGGCATCACTCAAGTGAAACCATAAATGCTTTTTGTTTCCTCTGTCTGGAATACCCCAAATTTTCTTTAGACACATCACAGATGTTATCTTTCTTGACTTCCGCACATATAGTTACAGTACTTAGGACTTAGTAAATTCTTCTAATGATACAGCAATTATCATGGTGTATTGCATGTGTTTGCTTACATATGTATTGCTTCCACTGTGTGTGAACTCCTTAGGACTATAATACTATTTTGTACATGTGTTTGTTTCGTGTTAATCATTTGGTCCTGATTGCCTTGTGAGTGCTGGCCAAAATGTGAGTATGTAGGACGCTTTTTGTAGGTGAATGAATGAAATGCTCTAAGAGGGAGTTATTACTCCCATTTCATAGATTAAGAAATGAAAATTCATAGAGATTAGCTGAAACAGTCCATCATCTCCTAACCAGGAAGAGTCAGTTATAGCCTGTGTCCTCTGCCGGCACATCTGGTTTCTTCTCTATCATATGATGATTAAATTGCTCTCAAGATTAATAGCAGTTATGATAATTATCCTTAAATATATAGAAAAACTCATATTTTCAAGCTTCTTTCATATTTTATCTTTTTTGAGTGAGGTAGTGGTATTTAGACGAGGAAGCAAGGATTGGTGAGATAAGGCTTCATCAACAAATTAATCAAGATGCGTGACACGAGCACAGGTAGGACCTGGCTGGGGAAGTGCTGGCTGAGAAGGGGTCAGGCTTGGATCAGATTCCAAGGCTGCAAAATGAGGATCTAATACCCTTTACCAGCTGCCTCCTTTGTGCACCTTTTCCTGTGCCTTCTTCTGTGTGCTGTGCTTTGTGCAGCAGTTAATGGGAAAACGTAGTTCCTGATCTCTGTAACATTTTGACTTTGCGGGGAGAAAGGCTTTTATACATAAGATCTACTTGGAAGGAAACTGTGAAACTTATTTTTAAGTGATTATTTGGGTTTATGTAAGTATGGGTTTTCTAGCAGATGAGTATACAAATAGATTGGTGTGTCCTGGTGTTGATGAACAGGGAAATACATGAAATAGGATGAAAACAGCACAGAGATGGCAATGAGCACATCTGAGAGACTGGAGTGATCCGATTAGACTGACAGATATTAAGCTCCCTTAGGAGGGCTTCAGGGGAGAATTTAAGAGTGAATGATAGGGAATAGAGAACCAGTGGACGATTTCCAGCAGACAAATGACTTCATGAAATTGGAATTTTAGGATGATTAATCTGACAGTGGAAAGTAGAATGAGTTGGAAAATGGAAGGCAAAGGATTGGAATTAGCCAACCATAGGAGTGGAATTAGCCAACCATAGGATAATGAAGTACTGCACCAGGGCAGGTGACTGTGAACACCAAGAGCAGAATTTGATGACCCGTGAGGAACAGTGGGGAGGTGGGTTTCAATGGATGACTCTAAGATGATAGCTTACAGTCTGATTCTGGTGGTGGAAGGTACTGTATTATTCATTTTACCAATGGGAGAGCAAAATGTCAAAGCCATCATTTTATATATGAATCAGAGCCCCACTGCCTTAATGAGTTGATATTGAGAGGAGGTTTTAGAATATCACTTTGCACCTCTAAAAAAGAACCATTATACTTTGAAGTACTCCTAAAAATGTTGACTTATTATTTGTGATTAAGAAGAATGTATACTTGTAAAATACATGGAAATTTGGAATGTACGTCAACTGCTTCTAAACAAAAGCTAGTATTTTGGTATTTTTTTCTAGTCTGTCTTTGTAGCATGTGTGTGCATGGGTGTGTGTGTGTGTGTGGGTGTGGGTGTGTGTGCGTGTATTTGTGTGTATGTGGGAGGGTGTGACCACCAGGGTCATATAGTTTTGCATTC